AGAAGTCCTAGTCATTGGCCAGCAGCATTGTAATTAACATAAGACTCTGTGTGTAATTTGGGCGTCCACATGGCGGCAGGGCTCTGGTGGCTTGGCGGAAAGATTTATTATTACAAAATGGTGTCAGGACTTGGTTTTACGAACATCCACATCAAAACTTCACAAAGGCTTAAAAAGGGATTTTAGAAGCAAAAGAACAGAGATAAGCACGACTTCTTGGTAGCATCATTTTCTCGGGTGGTCTCTGTTTTGCTAGACACAAGCAGAGACTCGAGTGGCTCCTTTAAGAGAGGCTTCCTTACTCAGCATAAGCAAAAAAAAAAAAAAAAAAAAAAAAAAAAAAAAAAAAAAAACCGCAGGGCTCTTGCTAACAATTCAATGGTGTGTACGAGCAACTGGCTCTCCAAGCTGTTAGCCTGTGATTTGATGGCAACATACACCAAGGCAGTGAGCACAGTTCTCAGTGCTGACGGTAAATGTACTCCTGCCATGTTAGAAAGACATCGGCTAAAGCAGCTGCCACTTTAATTTTAGCAATGCTGTTTAGCAGATAAGAGATCGTGTGGCCAGAAAAAGGTAAAGATTTACAGTAAAGACAGATTCAGATGAAGAAAAACCTCTAAAGGTTTACACTGTGTTTAAAAATATATGTAAGATTGTGAGAGAAAAGAAATAGGATAAAGTAATTAAAAGAAAGAAAGAAAGAAAGAAAGAAAGAAAGAAAGAAAGAAAGAAAGAGAAGCCGGTGGTGGTAGCGGTGCATGCCTGTAGGATTTGCTGAAGGAAGCAGAAGCATCAAGAAAAAAAAAAAAAAGAAAAGAAAAAAGAAAAAAAAGGAAGTAAAGGAAATAGAATAATAAAAAGCCACGTAAAGATGGAAAATACACAGAGAATCTGGATACTATATGCTATATTGTTGTCTTTAAATTGTTTGATTGCCAAGGAAAGAGCTACAGCTGCTAAAACACATTTGATTATAAGTGCTGCGAAATTAGGCCAACTTATATATTTTAAAAATGCTTTGACTTCTAAATTTAAATATAAGGACAGGTTACTTGGGCAAAGATTTTTTGCTTGTGTTTCCACAGAAAATGAAAAGCTATGGATTCCTTCCAGACTAATATAGTTTGATGAAGCAAGACCCCCTGAAACAGTGGCCCAACTGATCCTACATTCCAAACAGCTGAGATGATGGAGTCATAGATGACTACAGACAGGATTTCTGTGATTTATCATGATCCCCATGGTATGGACATCACCCCAACCAGCAGGAAGCAGTTTGGAATGAACAACGTCCAATTTCCCAAATATTGTTTATAAATGTTTGTTTCCATTTGAATGGGGTTGGTTATAAATGGTAATGATGCTCTTGCCTGGACTGTTTGATAAACTGGACATGCAGGACCCACTGGAAAGTGACTGCTGAACTTGCAAAACAACACAGTCTCGAAGGGTTCCTGCTTCATGGAGAAGTCTGCCAGACACAGTGTCCTATAGGCTGAAGATGGATTCACATATTTTCCAGAGGAACTTTGGGGGACTGGCA